TCTTAATAATATACCCATAAAATGGAATGCCATGTAGCCATTAAAATGATAATGTCTAATCATATGAATAGATATGAAACAATGTGCAGAATAAGTTTTAAAAAGCCTTGAGATCTTGAGAAAGAGAAATATCTGGAAAGATACATACCTAGCAGTGGTTATTTCTGGGATGTGATATGGGCAAATTTCACTGTCATTTGTCTTTATTTCTTAATAATTAGAATTTTGATAAGTATGATTGCTTATGGTTAACATGAACAATCAAAATGCTTCCATTTTGAAAAAAGAAATCTGTTATGAGTCGTGGCAGCTGAGCAGCATCTCCTCAGAGGCAACCCTTCTCATACACCCCTTCTTCTCTCTCCTTCCAGATACGCTCACTGTCTAAATCTTGACAAGAAAGGGAACTCCCTCCATTTTCCTGCCTTGCACTTCATGGTTTCTTTGCACTACTCTCAACACTGTCTGCTGCCCTCCTCTCAAGGGAAGCAGCTTCCTTCCCCCTTCCCGGGTGCCTCTGCTCTGGTGTCTCTATCTCCCTCTTACCCCTGATGTTGTACCCTGCAGGAAGGCTCAAGAACCCTTCCCCATTCCCGCCCATCCAGCCAAACTTCCTGGAGACGTGTCTACCTTGTTGCCTCCATCACCTCACTAAGCCTTGAGGTTGACTTCCATTCCCTACCCCAGAACACTATGCTCTTAAATCCAGGTCAAACCCTTTCATTTTCTAGAAGACTCCTCTGCAGGACTGCTGTCTTCAATAGCCTTCTTGAAACATCTGTCCTGGTCTCCAGGATACGCTGCAGCCTCAGCCTCTTTCTCCTCTCTGACTGCTCATCTCCAGTGGGTTATTCCACCAGAGCCTATCCTGGGCCTTCTGCTTTCCTCTTCTACATCCTCTCCCTGGATGATCTCACCTACATCAGAGACTTCTCTGCAAACCTCCAAGGATCTACTTTCAGCTGTTAGTATCCAGACTTTTCTCTCATACAAGATAGACAATACTGGCATTTCCATTTCTTCAGCCACTGAACTGCTAAGTCCAAGTGATTCTACCACTGAAACAACTCTTCTTTTTCCAGTTTTATTGAGGTAAAATTGATAAATTAAAACTTTATATATTTACAGTCTATTGCCTCTTCCCCCAGCCCACTGCCATTGCCCTGGTTCAGGCCATCACTTGCTTAGGTTGTGACAGAGCCAGCTTCTGGGTCCAATTACTTGCCTTTAAAAACCACTTTAAAGCTGTCACTGAAATTCCCTTCCTGAAACATAGGTCTGATCATGTCATTCTTCTGCTCAAAACCAACATGCAGATTTCCCATAGGGTGCTTGTGCCATGGAGATGCTAACAGTAAATAGGGCAGTATTTTTTAAAAGTCAATACCGACAGAAGTTTAACTTCTCCTTTTTTTTTAAATGGAGTCTCACTCTGTTGCCCAGGCTGAAATGCAGTGACGCCATCTCGGCTCACCACAACCTCCACCTCCCAGGTTCTACCTCAACCTCCCAAGTAGTTGGGATTACAGGCATATGCCACCAGGCCCAGCTAATTTTTGTATTTTTAGTAGAGACAGGTCTCGCTATGTTGGCCAAGTTGGTCTCAAACTCCTGAACTCAAATGATCCATCCCACTCAGCCTCCCAAAGTGCTGGGATTATAGGCATGAGCCACCACATCCAGCCCAAAAGTTTAACTTTTTAATAAACACTGGGATAGACAAAGCCCAACAGGTTTCTTTATTGCAGAACTTATCAGAGTCCTTCATATGCTAATGGCCCTTTGAATTTCCAAGAAATAGTTCATTAGTGTATTATTTCTCAAATTTATTTGACTTCAGAATTCTTTCCATTTATGCAGAATATTTGCTCTTTAGGAAAGATCCTAAAGGAGACAGGGCCACAAAATGGAGGGAGCCTGGGTTCCTGACTCACATTTTGGTACTGAGCCTCCCAGAGAGCAGCTCTAAGAGAAACACCTGTGACGGACTAGTGCATAAACATTTATTGTGTTCAGCCCCTTAAACATCAGGGTTGTTTGTTATAGCAGTTAGCCTATGCTGTCCAATACAGAATGCATGCAGGTATTTAAGTTATTTGCCAAATAATAGATTATCTTTTTTGGCCTGCAGAGTTTTGTCACAAACAACAATAGGTCACAAGGATTTGTAGCCTTACTAAGTCACTGTAATAAACCTTTGCAAACAGCATCTCCTTTAATCCTCTTGACCACCTAGTAGGATAAGTACAATCATTGTCCCATCTGACAGATGAAGAAACTAAAGTTCACAGAGTTTGAGAATTTGAGATGGGAAGCCCAGGATATGCATGTAGGTCACTTGACTTTGGGTTCTTGATCTTAATCACATCAAGGTCTTACCTCCTAGGCCCAGGTTATGAGGTCAGAAAAGCTGGGTTCCAGGCGATTTAGTTAGTTACCTAAATTAACCAAACATCTACACAACTTACTTCCAGTCTTTTTATTTAGACCAGTAGCTCCCAATCAGGGTTGATTTTGCTGCCCCAGGAGATATTTGGCAATATATGGAGATATTTTTGGTTGTCATAACTGGGGAGGTGCTACTGGTGTCTAGTTGATAGAGGCCAAAGATGCCACCAAAACATCATACAATGCGAAGGGCAGCCCCCAACAACAAAGAACCACCCGCCTCAAAATGTCATAGTGCCAAGGTGGAGAAATTTTTTATGTTTTATAGACAGAGCACAAATGTCCAAATAAACCCACACTCCTGTTTGGATTAAGAAGCTTACTTTAAAACCCTGCTTTAGGCTTTAATTCTGAAAAGGACAAGAAAGGCCATGGCCAACAAGTAGCTTTTGGTGCTCAGAGATGTGAGCCTTGGCCATTTTTGGAGGGAATCCAGCCCAAAGAAGACTTTACCACATATAAACAATTTGGTTTGGGAGGACCTCAGGAACAATATATGGTGACAGAATAGAAATTCCTCTTGAAAGAATGCCAAACCTTTTTGGTTTCCTAGTAACATAATTTTCCTGAGATTTCTCTCATATTTGAATTTCAGCATCCCTACACCTATTTTAAATCAAGGCAACAAAAGACGGTTTTTTTTAAAAAGATGACATAATAGAATCAGCTTCTTGGAGAGAGAAAGAAACCTAAAGGCCATTCAGTCCCTCTCCTTGCCTACCCCTTCTGGCATGTGGCACCCCTGTTTCAACATCATATGATGCAGGGAAAGGATGTCACCATCACAAGGATCCTGTTTCATTTCCAAAATGGTCTGTTTGAAACTTTTTTCTTTCAGGGCCAGAAACCTGCTTCTCCGAACTCTCTGTTTGCTGCCCCTCATTGAGTGCACTCAGGGAGGGTTGGGGAAGAAGGGATGAGGAGATGGGTTTGGGGTTGGGAAAGCATTCTTCCATGAAAGCTTACTGGGTCCCAGACACTGTGCACTTCATTTCTAACCCTCCAGCATCTCCAATAGCAACCTCAGTTAATGATGGTCCATAGCCTCCCTGCCCCTGAGTGTTGTCTCTTTTCCAGATGAAACATTATGAGATTTCACATGGAAACATCCCTTTGGCACCCCGCTCATTCCTTCACTCATTTATTCAACATATAACTACTGGGCACCTATGATGTGCCAGTCTTGTGTCAGAGACTTGGGATACAACATTGGGCTGGGAAAAATGGCTTGTCTGGAAAGCAGGGGTGGCAATAGAGTCAGCAAGGGAAGCCCTCAACTTAGGGGCTATTATTATCTGCAGCAAAAAATTTCCATGCCAGCACCCTATGGGGTAGAGTAGGGCATCAGGAACATATCCCCGAGGGAGTGATGTCTACCTGGATGGGTGGGCAGAGATCCAAATGGTTTCACCAGGTGCTGGGGCATGTAGAGTGTTACAGGCAGAGGGAACAATTTGTGCAAACACCACAGGGGCACCCAGGGCACTGGAAACAAGTTGGCATGGCTGATCATGGACCGATGCTGAAGAGATGGGCCCAGACTGGTAGGCCCTGCAGATCGTGTAATGGATTGGGTTTTTAGCTGGAGGGCCAGAAGGACCAATGAAGCTGAGAAACAATAGGATTGGATTCAGCTTACAGAACGCCATTCCTGGAAGCTGTGTGGAGAACGGATCAGAAGGAGCAGGAAGGCAGGGACTCTGCATGGGAGGCTGTGCAGTCACCCTGCCTCCCTCAGGGGACACAGTGGCATCAGGGACTGAGAGAAGGAACAGTGGTGGTAGAGGGGTTAGGGGTCTTTAACCACTTCCCATAATCTCCAATCATCAAAGCACCTTCAAAAGTTACCTCAATAAACAGAAAGTCAAATTCAAAGCAGTGCTTAGTTATGTTCCTGCAGCTAGGAAATGAGCCCCCAGCACTGCACCCCTCCCTCCAGCAGATATTCGTTAAGCACCCCCATGTTGAAAGTTGGTATCCAGCCTGAAGAAATAGAGGTATTTAGGGTAGACACAATTTGGATGTGAAACACACACACGCACACACACAGAGAGAGAGAGAGAGAGAGAGAGAGAGAGAGAGAGAGAGCAAGAGTGAGAGAGAGAGACAGATGGAAAGATGACTGGTCCCAGGATAGAACAGTGAGTGGATGTTGGAGAGGGAGTCTGTTTTCTGGTGGGGAGGAAGGATTCACTGGGGTCAGATGGAGTTAGGTAGCCAAAGGGCAGAGAGAGAAATCTGGAGCCCCGAGAGAATCTGGGTATGAGGAGAAGTCAAAGGACAAAAGGGTGAGCCTGGAAACTGAATGAACTCTCCTGAGATACTCCTAAAATCTTCAGGGATCTCCACAAAACTCACAAAACACTTCCCACAATGTGTGCCCATGGAAACTGGAGTGTGGTTGAGCTCTTATACATCAAGGGGATGTATAAGAAAATGGGGGCCAGGTGCAGTGGCTAACACCTGTAATCCCAGCACTTTGGGGGCCGAGGCAGGTGGAACACGAGGTCAGGAGTTCAAGACTAGCCTGGCCAAAAAAATTAGCTGGTCATGGTGGTGCGCGCCTGTAATCCCAGCAACTCAGGAGACCGAGGTGGGAGAATCTCTTAAACATGGGAGAATCTCTTGAATCTGTGAGGCAGAGGTTGCAGTGAGCCGAGATCGTGCCATTGCACTCCAGCCTGGGCGACAGGGCGAGACTTCATCTCAAAAAAAGAGAAAAGAAAAGACTTTGTCTTTATTTACTTTTTGCTTTGTTTTTAAAGACACAGCTTAGCAAGAAGAGGCCTTATATTCTGCCTGACAGTACAGGGTTTGGGGTACTTGCCTTGCACCTGCTCTGCACTGCCTCCTCTCCCTGCAAATCCAGCTATTAACTCCTGAAGACTGGAAGGATCTCACTTTTTACTGTGTCCTCAGCAAGCCTAAGACCATAGCTGACAGGTAATAGTTGCTCAGTGAGAACCTGCAGATCTGAGGGGAACTGTGGGGGAAGACAGCAGTGTGGCTTTTCCATCAGGAAAACAGGGTCATGGGACAGCTGCCTTGAGAGGTCACTTGGTCCTCTGCTCTGGGTGCCCCATGATGGCTGGAGCCAGGCTGTAACTGGCTTTGTGTTCCCAGACCTTGCCACCCACCAGCCATTCAATGAAAGTTGGATGTAAGAGGCTAGGCATTAGGGCCAGGAAAAGCAATATTTATATATCAGGGGAAATACTACAAAATCAGGATTTTTTTCTTTTTGGAATCAGGGAACTCCAGGCCAGGGAAGCAGACCTGTTTTGGTTGCTGGAATAGTAGAGCTGTCACTGGTGGAGGATGGTGGGACAGTTTCCAGGATCTTCAGTCCTGGTGGGTGAACAACATAAGCAGGATGCATAGATCAGCTCCTTGATGCCTAGAGCCATAGAGCTGTTCCTGTTAACATTCTGAGTTCAGAACCTCTTCCTGTACACATTCAACAAGAACTCTGGGGAAGACAGGTTTGGGTTTCAACCAAAACTTCAGCACTTACCAGCTGTGTGACCTTGGGCAAATTACTTAGCAATTCTGGGCTTCCATTTTCACATCTGTAAAATTGGCCTAAAACTTAGTAGTAGTACCTCATTGAGAAGTGGAATCGATTAAATGAAATCTTGACATATGAAAGGCACAGTTCCCAGCACATAGCAAGCACTCAGTATATTTCCCCAGGGTGGGAGAGGCTTACCCAGGGTGAGCCCTGGCCACGCTTGCCTAGTTGAAGGTGTTTGCTCTCACAGCTCCTTTGATAATTCTATGCAAACAGGCCCAAGCTCAGAAAAGGGATAGGAAGATAGTTGGGGGTATAAGGAGTGACACAGAAGCTAAGACAGAGTAGGGCTGGAGCTAAGGGGAACCACCTGCAAGATGTCTGCCCCCTTTGCTGGTATAGGGGAGGTGAGAAGTGGCCAACCAAAGGCTGTAGAGGTCATCCCAGGGAGGGCCCTGGAAAGCACCCTGTAGCAGGGTTGATATTTGCTGACACAAGAAGAGAAGGATGGGGTTATAGCCCCAAGGGAGTTGACAGGCAGTTTCCGGGGCCTCATTCAGGTAACCAGGGCTCAGGATTGAGCTCCTAAGTAAGTCCTCTACCAGGGCTTACTCCAGGCCTTCAAGGCACTTGGACTGGGGAATCAGGAGTAACTCCTCCTGTCACCCAACCTCTCTGACTTCCTCATTACCACCTTCTCCATGCCTCCACCCAACCACCCAGGCCTCCAGCTGTTCCTCAGACCCACCAAGCCAGCTCCCACTCAGGTACTCTGCCCCAGCCACTCCCTGTCCTGGCATGCTGGTCCCAATAGCTCATCCACTGCTTACAACTCTCTGCCCAATCGTCACCTCAGCCAAGAGAATCTCTCTGTCTGCCAATATAATATCATACACATCTTTCACCATCCCTTTCACTCTCTAGCCCCCCACTCCCCATTGTCTCCAAATAACTTGCCACCATATGACCCATATACATTACTGGTGAACTTGTTATTCTCTACCTTCTACACTATAATGTATGCTCCATGAAGGTAGGGACTTTGTTCACTCCAGTATGCCCAAAGTCTGGACAAAATACCTGGTCCCTGAGCATGGACCTGCCCAATAACTATTTGCTGACTTAATAATGAGTGAGTGAACTGTCAAACTCCATCTGCTGTCATGTGAAGGACACTAACATTCTGAGCTGGTACAGAACTGGCCAGGACCAAACCAGGACCTTATGAAGGTCACAGGTACTAGTTGCTAGTGGGTTTGGAACTGGGGAGAGAGGACTGAGTTTACAGAAGGCAGTAGCCTACCTTGACTCCCATCTACCTGCTTCAACTATCAATCCAGGGAAAATTGTATCAGGAAACTTTTGAACACTGAAAAATTTCTTTTGATTCAGTGGTGTGAACCATGAATGATAGAGCTTCAGGCACCATGGCCAGCAGAGAGAAGGTGTCCAGCTGTTTGGCTCACCCAAATCACCCCTTGTGTTACTTCATACCTACTTATATAGTAACCAAAAGATTATTTACACAGACAAGCCATTAGAGAAATTTGAGAATTTAAGTCATAGTTTCAGCAGTATTACTCAAATAAACAGCAGCTTGTGGTTAGGTCTTGGATAGAGTTTTTGCCCACAGGTCAGGGTTTCTCCTTTCTGGTGCTTAAAACCACCGCCTTGCCAAGAAGGCAGCAAACAGGGTATCATTACAGTGAACACTTCATGACACAAAAAGCAAGAATGTCCAAGCCCCACCCAGAAGCCCTTGGTCACGATGCTTCCCTGTTCTGCTCATGACTCGATCCATTGAGAGGAATTATTTTGGTGCTAACAACACATTTCCCAGTTCCTGTCCATATGTAGGGAGAAATGGCATGCCTCTGTGTGTCAGTGCCCAGAAACAAGCAGACTCTCAGAGTCGGGAATAACAGAAGCTTCACCCACAGTCTAGCTGACATCTGAGAGGTCTCCAGGGAACCTCATTGAAGAAGCAGTGTTATTTTCCAGAGGAGGTCGGGGCATAGTGGTGATAATATGAAAAAGAAGAAAGAAAATGAAACATCCAGTTCTGAAAGCAGGAGCTCAGAAATCAGTGGTTGTATAAGAGGCTGTCCCTTGCAGGAATGTCACTATTCCTTCTTGTGACTCCACCTTCCCTGCCAGGGCACTGAATTTCTCCTGGGCCATAACTACTTACAAGGAAACCCCATCCCCAAGAAAGAATCACATCTGCATGGTGTTCACATGAACAGGATCTGATCTATGACTTCAGCAAAATAACATAACTGCATGTCCATGGAGCTGTTTTATCAGGATTAAATAAAATTGAATACATAAAGGACCTAGAAAATCTTTGCTTGGGAGTCAGTGTGTGCTCAAAAATATTATTTTTCCTGTCTAAGGATCTCATTACTTTGCTTAGTACATGATATTATGTTACTTGTAGTGATGATTATTTCTTTTAACATTTGGCTTAGACTACCCCTTTTAGCTTCTTGCATTTTTGTCTTAGAGAGTATCAAGTATGTTTAGTTTTTAGTTGTAATAAAGTTATGTGTTGGAACTAGTTCAGTCTAATAATAATCTTAAAGATTAGAGTTTGAGGGATATTTGTTCCCTTCATTAATCCACTTACCTCATGTTGTTCCAGAAGTATTTTGAGGGGCCTACAAAAATAAATACAGCAGAATATAAAGAGATAAGATTAATTTTTACAAGTTGGTTCTAAAATTGGTCCCAAGAATCAGAGAAGCCAATGCAAAGAGGGAAAACTGAGCAAATTATAAGATTCAGTGTTTGCAAGACACCAGTTTCTTCAAGAAAGCACAATTTTTCTTGCACTAAGCCCTAAGTGAACTCTATTCCATCTTAAACAATATCTCTACAGAATAGCTGCCTCTAATCCTACCTGCTGGTACAAAATGGGGCACCACACCCGAGAGCAGCTGAAGACAAGATTTAAGGAAAGTAGGTTTCTGCTGGACTTGTGTGATTCAGAGGTAGAATCTTCTTGCAAGAGGAATCAGTGAGATGTACACTTGTTCCAATTACTATAGGTGCATAACAAATTACCCCAAAACCTAGTGGCTTCAAATTATTATTTTAGTTTGTTTACAATTTTGAGCAAGAGGAAGGTTGACAGGACACAACAAGAATAGCTTGCTCTGCTCCATGATGTTTGGTGTTCACATAGGGGTGATGTGAAAGTCGGAACCTGGAAGCATCTTTACTTACACAGCTGATGGCTGGTGCTGGCTGTTGACTCAGACAGGGGCACTCACACATGGCTTTTCCATAGGGCCAGGGCTGCCTCACTGCATGGAGGCTGAGAGTATTCAGAATTCTTCTGCCTACTAAGTGCTAAGCGCTCCAAAGATGAATGTCCCAGATACCCAGACAAAAGCTAGATAGTCTTTTCTGGCCTAGCCTCAGAAATTATCCAAAGTCCCTTTCACTGAATTTGGTTGGTTACAAAGCAAGTCATAAGCCCACCCAGATTAAAGAAAGAGGACAAAGACCCCACTTCTTGGTAAAAGGCAATCCATCACATCATAAAAAAGCATATGGATGAGACATATGGTTCCCACCATCTTTGGAAAACACAATTTTCTACACGTCCTCTATGCAATTACCTATACATACTATATCTTGCAATAAACCCTTTGATAAGAATTGAGCAGATCCTTGGTCCTTAAAGGGTATCTTTTTGGTGTCAAACATTAGATGAATAGGTCTTGGCTTGGTCTAAATAGGCATATAGCACATTCAGTCACTGTGACCATAAACTAAATGGCTCAACAGAATCTAGGTCCTCAAATAAATTAATGTGCTCAGGCTTCTACCACAAAATACAATAGGCTAGGTAGCTTAAACAACAGAAATTAGCTTTCTCACCATTCTGGAGCCTGGAAGTTTAAGATCAGGATGCCAGTACAATTGGTTTCTGCTGAGACTTTACCCTTGGGTAGCAGATGGGCACCTTCTGGCTGTGTACTCAGCTGACCTTTCCTGTGAACAGAGAGAGAGAGAGAGTTCTTGTGTCTCTTCTTATAAAGGTATTTATCCCATTATAAGCCCCCCCCATGACTTCATCTAACCCTAATTACCTCCCAAAGGCCTGCTGTTCAAATACTATCACATAGGGGCTAGGCCTCTACATGTGCATTTGGAATGGACACAAACATTCAGGCATAACACCATAGTTACAGACATGTAAGCATTCAGTGAAAAAATGGCATCAATTCCTGAATATTTCTAAATATCTGGAGTCTTTAATCAAGTGGACAATTTACCCAAACACATAAATTTTTCACTTTCTTTCAACTTAGTCTTATAGCTAAAATTCAAGCCAGAGACTATGACACAGATATAAATAGATCCAGAGCATCATTATCTATAATTTGGAAAGGGTGTCACTGGCATACATCTGTAAGCAGTTCAGGAACACTTTCAAGCTGTGTTTACATGACATAAACATCTGGATGAAAACTAAAAAAAAAATAATAATCAATTTGGATTGGAAACAAAGCAGAAGTACAAATCTCAGTGTACTGCACTGGCCCTTGGAATACTGAATGCAGAACCAACCCCCTTACCCCAGGAATGAGATAATGGTGCACAAGAAGGAACACTGAAATGGGGGCTTTTGTGGGAAGGCAGACTTAAAAAAAAAAAAACGAATTCCATTTTACAAACAGAAGATGAGAAGGGATAACATCGAAGACTGAAAAACATAAAGAATGTAAATCTTAAAGCACCAAACTGCTAGAACCGGGAGCTTTGAGGCTTAAAGGCAATGATTTTAATTCAGCTAAAAATCCAATAAATCCTGGTCATCAGAGAAAGTGGCATTCAGGAAACTCAAGATTCTAGATAGCCAACAAATCATTTATTTAAGCATCACAACCTATGTTCACTTTTCAAGTAGAACCTATTCTCAAATATCGAACTTATTCCCATGGCCTTTTAAATAAGAGAATACACATCACTCAGATAACTACACTCCAGCTCTCAGGCATATTTTCTGTGTAGAGGAACTATGCCACATATCCTCGCGTCCCAGTGATCCTTGTTAAAGGACCCCAGGACCCCAAAATAGTTGTTGTGTATTTTTTTCATAGCTCACCTGTTTTCTCTTTCCATCATTTCCTGGCTTTTTGTTCTTGCAGCATGCCTTACCATAAGTTTCCCCAGAAGCTGACCCTGAATTAAGGACTTGAGAGCCAGTTGTTTGGGAAGTGATCCCAGGAAACACGAGGAAGCCCATCCAGGTGCATACCTGAGAGGCTATTTATTTAACCCCTATGGACAGCTGGGCTTCAATCCTGCCGGAACTTCTATAAAACTGTGCAGAATTGTCCCACACAAGGGGCAGGAACCTGGATTTCATCTCCAAATCTTGTCCATCATTCTCTAAGAACCACTCTGCTTAACTCCCAGGCACTATTAAAAGCCTGCAGGTGTTTGCAGTAGGAAGCCGTCAGGTAAGTAAAGAGGTAAAGTGGGTGTGAACAGGGGCACCTGCTCTACCCTGCCTTCCCATTCCCATACCTGATAGAATTTTAGAGTAAAGAAGAAAACTAGACTATGAGTGAGAGCCTGCAGGACTCTCCTGAGTAAAAGACACCTTTTCTGATAGCTTAGGGGTCTTCACTTTCTGATTTCTCCCTGGCTCTTGGTTACATATTTTAAAGGTGCTATAATGCAACTGGTAGTTAAAAATTTTTTTTTGGTCATTCAAAAAGTTCAATCTAAGTAAATTTTGAAGCAAAGTAAGAGTCCACTAAATGGCAGGTTGTGTTAGCTAAACTCCCTAGAGATAAAAACTGACTTGCTAGTATTACCTCAAGTAATGGGAAATGACCAGACCTCAAAAAGAGTCAACGTGAAGGTTAAGGCTACTGTCCCAAGCAGGACACCTGACTGCAAATGGGAAAACAGTGGCAGAACCCAAGCACACTGGTTTTCACTCTCTGTGAGGCAGAGCCAAAGGGGAAACTGCAGGTCAGTGGATAGGCAGGGACCCAAAGCACAAAGGATGCCACATTACAAACAAGACCCATCCTTTATCTTTTTATCTTTGGAGGGAAAAGGCCTTTTATCTTTGGTCAGGACTGGCTCAGAAACTGGCAGGGAAGGGAGTGTAGGGGCAGGAAGTCATGTGCAAAGTGGCGAGCTGAGGGCGCACAGAGCTGGCATCTGAAGAGAGCTAGCACAGGCAGCTCATCTTTTATTTAATGACCCACATCAAAATTCATGAACAGCTAGAACAAAAATCCAGGTGTCTTCACTCCAACACAGCAGAAATTACTCAACATTGATTCATCCAGAGGCAAAGCTAAGAGGATGTGGGTTCCAGGAACACAAGGGCACACTGGCCAGAATGTCACATGAGGATAATTCAGAGAGAAGGGCCCAAGGCCAGGTCAGAGAGCCAAAACCTCCAGTCATAACAGCAAAGCATCCACTGACAGGAAGAGAGCCTTAAGCTGAGGGAAGGAGGGGCCAGGAGTGCACACACTAGGGAAGAGTCTGCAGCAGACAGAGAGCCAGAGGAAAGACATGCAGGAGCAGGGCAGAGAGCAGAAACTGACATGGCGCAGATGCAGGACATGGCTGGACTATGACAAACCTCTTGCTGTGTGGACTCAGGACTCTCCTGGGAGTGGGGAGCATAGCAGGATAGTAAAGAGGTCAGCTCTATGATGGCTGAGAAAGCTCAAACTCTGGCTTGGGTGTAGCTGGATTTGGGCAAAGCTGGATAAGGGGAGACAGCCAAGAGAGTGCTATTGCAGCAATCAAGACACTGGAAAGAGCTGGGAGGCAGGAGCCATGGAGATGGAAGGGAAAGGATAAAATCAAGAGACTTGTGGTAGAAATAGCATCAGATGTTGATAGGACTTTGGGTGGCAGCATGGAAGCAAGGAAGACAGAAATAAGGGCACTTATTTGGAGACTATGAGACTGGGGAACTGGGAGGCTGTTGGCACCTTTAGTGCAATGGAGACGTAATTGTTGGAAAGATGTGATTGAGCTGAGAATGGTTGCACTGACCTCACACTCCACTCTATCAGAAGAGAATATGTTGGGATGTGATTCCTGGTGTCAGAAGCTCTCCTCATTCCTCTTAACTCTTGCAGCAATATCACCAATAGTAAGAAAGAAGGCGCATGTCCCACGTGCTTGTTTCCTGGGACAGAACCCAAATATTTGATCCTTGGACTTAACAAATTTCATCAAGAGAATTTAAAGTGTGAGTTACAGGAATGTGGAGGATGAACCAAGTTCCTGGGTTTTCAACAACTATGTGACTGAGACAAAATACACATTAGAAGAAAGTAACATGGAATTTGGAAGGATAGAAGACAACAGTTAAGCTAACTGGAAATATGGTGTCAATGTGTCTGTTTTAGAGGAGGACCAGTCCACTTGAACGAGGTCACTGTGACTCAAACATTATACTATAATGATGTTATCCTGAAAGAGCTTCAATAAATCTAACCACTCATGAATGTCTAGATAACATAAATTTGGCAAGATCTAAAAACCAGCTAAGATTGACGGTGACAGCCAAAGGAGAAAGTTGTTGAAACATTGGAAACTCTCATGGGATGATGTCTGTTAATGGTTTGAAATAAAATAAATTTGATATCCTTGGCCATTAAAGGAATTCCCATCTCTGCAATAGTGGTTGAGGTGTTAAGATGCCCACAGCCACAGTCAAGAGGCCAGGGCAGTAATGAAGAGAGGCCCAGGTGTCCTACTAAGGAATGACATTAACTTATGCCTTTCCTCAGAGAATGAGTGAAGGCTTATGGCAACTAGGCCTGGAAAATTACTCTCTTAGAAGTGTTGATAGCTTTGACCAGGCAGATTGCTTTGAACACAGAATGGAGGGATCAGTTTAAGGACAATGCCAAGGGAAAACTTGGTGGAAAAGAACATGTTGGCTAGATAGAAAAGAGGAATGGAAAGAAAACCCAGAAAACAATAAAAGGGAAGGGAAAGGGAGGGAGATAGAGGACAGAGGGGGAAGAGGAGGGGAGGAGAGGGGAGAGAGTCTTTGATGAGATGAAGAATTGAGGAGGCATTGGTCAAGTCCTGCTTTTGTTAATTCCATTCCAGATGGAGATGGGCTATGAGAACACTGGATAGTACAGGATAAAAGGGGAGGAAAAATCACTTCTAGGGAGAGACACTTGGGAAGTGAGGGTAGAAGCCAAATGAAAACTGAATGTAGTAAAGCAAGCAGCAGGAAGTCACTGCCATCCTGAGCTGGAGTAGAAAGGTCATAAAGGAGCATGGTAATATGATGGGAAATCCCAAAATAGGGACAGAGATATGGGTTCTAGTCTCAGTTTTTCCTCACTCTGGGCAAACCACTCCATCTTTCTAGATTGATTTCTTCATATCTAAAGTGATAGGGTTAGACTAGGTGAGCTTAAACATTCCTTCCCCCTTATACAGCCCTCGACTGGACATAGATGTTATGAAATCCGAGACTTACATAAATGGAACCATCCAGATTGGAACATGTATTTAGCTTTTCTAAGTAGAAAATGCTTTAAAGGGAGGAATAAAAGTTTCCACTCAATACTTGGCGAGCAATATTTGCTCTGTAAAATAATTAGTGAGTAAGCATTACTGAACTGGATTGTCACATAATCATGAGAGAATTAAAAGAAAAAACAAATTTAGAAGACTCAATTTTCCCTTCCATAGATCAGAAGGATGATTAACATAAACCATTGGAGAATAATTTTAAAGATGTGCAGGAAGAGACTGTGCATCAGATGAAAAGCATGCTTGTCTGGGGATTGGGAGCCTTGAGTGCTAGTCCCAGCTCTGCCACTCCCAGGACTTGAACACATCATTTCCTTTCCATGCCTCCATTTCCAAAGGAATCCTAAAAGTCGTGGACTCCAGCCTCCTACAAGACCCCTGCCCATGATCATTCAGTTGTATAATAATTAAAAAGCATTTTTTTATTTCTGTACCAATGAGGTCTAACAAGGAAAGTATTTTACATATTTTCAAAGGACACCATGTAATGCAGGGAACTGGCTACACAGGTTTGAGAAGCCAAACAGAGGATAGTGAGGTAACTTAGACATTAGCAGTAGCAGAAAGTCACTGCCACCCTGGGCTAGGGGACAAAAGAGAGGAGGTGCTGTTACTGAACCCTAGGGGCTGGGGTCACCTCATGAAAGCTGGAACCACAGTGGGTCCATTAGGTGGAAGCCAGAGCCATTGAGGAGATATAGCCATTGTCAAAGGTGCCAAGATTGAGGGACAGAGGATAGGGGAGACTATTCCTGCCCCGATCTGCCCATTTTCTGCCTTTGCCTCCCATTGGCTGTATCCAGCTAGAAACCATCTAGTATATAGCCCTGGCAAATGCAGCCTGCAGGGGTCAGCCCCTTTTCCACACAGAGGATGGAGAGGGCAAGGAAAGGGAGTCCAGAACTGGTACAAGATCCAAATTCTCCCTTTTCATAAGTTTTAACCCTTAATCCCACATCAGTCTAGAATCTAAGTCTTTGCACATGTAAGGACATCCATCCAGTCATGCCTTGGTTGTTTCTTTGTTTTTTTTCCTGAAAACCATACAGACTCTAGTTGCTGCTGAAGCCTGATGGGTCTTGATTCCATCTTCTCCCCAGTGGGAATAATACTGACCTTTTCTATGTCACAGATCTGTGTAAGGATCCAGGAAAATGGAAAGACACTAGGAAGAGCTCAACAGTCACTTAGGGTACCCACATACAAGCTGGGCAGATGCTTGTAAGAACAGCTCTCATACAGCAGTGGAGTCACATCCCGCAGCCAAAATGAATGCCACAAGTGAGATCAGACACCATATGTGATCAGGGAGGCTCCCAGTGGGGCTGAACCTAAGATCCTGGTGCTGCTGTTTAAAGAGCTTATAAATAACCCCATAGGGTTGGGCTAGGGTACAACAGAGGTTGGGCCCATGAAGTTTTCTTCTCTCTCCCTCTTGCTTTTCTCCCTTTCTCTTTCTCAATTTCTCTCTCCCTCTGGATCAGTGCTTTTGAGTCACTGTAACTGCATTAACCACCCAGGAAGCTACCCTGCCGGCAGCTGAGGAAGCAGAAGCTAAGAATCCAGGAAAACAGCTGAGTGCCCAAGTTGCCAGCCTCATCCACCCTCTGCCTCCTACAAGGTGTCTGGACTTGGATGGGGCTGTGCAGAGGACACATTGCCCACAAAGAAAGTGCGGAAGAAAACTTTGCACTCTTCTCCTAAACCTATAGAAATCCCTTCTGGGCTCAACTGATGCTGGACAAATCCAAGAATGAATTCAAAGAACCCACCCTCTGCCTAGTGGAGATTAGTCCCATGAAAATTCTTGAAAACCTTAAAGTGTTGGGATATATACAGCAATTATTCTGTTAGCTGCAATTTTCTGTCGTTTCTCTCTCCCAAGATAAACCAAGGAGGCTGCTGAAAGTTCACAGACATTGATAAATGACATGTGCAAAGATTTAGACACAAGGATATTGACTGATGCTATTATAGCAGAAAATCCGAAACAACCTAAATGTTCAACAATAGAGGATTGTTTAAATACATATGATGTACTCATCCAGTAGAATATTGTACAGCTATTAAAAATCATGTTATTGAAGGATAAAATGATTTTCACAATATATCATTAAAAGGAAAGAGCAATTTACAAAAGCAGAATACTGTACACATGCACAGAAGGAAACTTTTCAAAACCAATTGCACTCATAGTTCAATCTTAAAATTATGATTTTCTTTTTTGTTTATATGTATTTTCCAATTTTTCTACAGTGATGTGCACTGCTTTTGAAATAAGAGAAGGGAATAATAAAAGCTTATTTTTATAGGCAAGAAAGAAATAGGAAAAGCTCCCTTTTTCAAGGCTGTCTTCTAGCACCTTGTTCTGTTAGACGATAACAAACTAGCTGGGACCCTGCTCTCCAGCTTACCTACTGTCCCATGGAGCCTCCCTCAGCTCTGGGCAGAAGCTTCCTTGGGACCAGTGTCTACCTTGAGACAAATTATCAAAAATAGGGCCAACCTCTCACTTCGAAGAACCAAAGGCCACTTCAGCCTAGAGAAAACAGCTGTTCTAGAGCTGGTGGCTTTTCAAAGCAGAGCAGCAGCCCTAGCATGTGAAAAGTATCTCCCTTCCTCCTCCCACTGCTGAAGGTTTGCAGACAGCTCCCTTTCCATCCCACAAGAGGAGACAGGCAGATGAGTCATAGCACTGGCTCAGATTAAAGGAGTATTATTGTGTTAGCAGAAATGGATCTATTTTATTATCTGTTTCTTGACACCTTACAAATAGATATGCTTTACCCATCAGTCAGACAATTTCCTTAAAAAGCCAGTGATTTTGTTCACTGGAGTTAAGAAATGACCAATGAGTGGTAGAAACTTGTATGTCTGAAGAGCTGCCAGGCTGAAAAGATGTAGTGGAAACATTGAGAAAGGTGGTTTATAACCTCAGACTCTAGATTCAAGTCTGCAAAGTGATGCCATTCTTCTAAAAATATACAGAGGAACTACAGAAACCCTTTCCCCTTTTCTCTTTCTTAAGAGTTTTTTTTTTCCCTCAAGAAATATTTCCTAACTGCTTGTAAAGGAGATTCACCACCTCAGATTTCACTGTTTTAATGGGGGTGATGGTCATAAGATACTATTTTAAGGACTTCCTTCTCTTTCATAGATTTTTCCATACTGGGAGGAGAGATAAGGTATGTTCCACTAATGTTCCTCATTAAACTCACACTCATGCCAGTAGTCATTTCCCTTTGTCTTGCCTGTCCCATGACAACAGATTGCACATCATAGGAAATTGGAATGAAGACCTTATTTAGTTTGGCTCTCTCTTCTCTATTGTCTAAATTGCACATTAAATTTTTCATTCTATGTCTGCCTCCTTTCACAGAAATATACTATGAATGAATATAGGAACAGGTAAATGAATAGGCATTATGGCTAAGAACTTAAAGACTTTTCAGGATACCTTGACCAGTTCTTTCTCCTCCCCACACCCCAAGCATTTATCTCTGGGTCAAAATGTACTGGATACTTCATGAAGACCTGATAACTGATGAACATACATGTGTTGTAACTGTGTGTTCTCAGCACATTGTTTACTGTTGATCAAATTCTAGTAGCTTCTCTGTTTCCTTTTTGCTGTTATCCATACATGTCTCTGTGGTCTTTCTGTCTCCCTCACACTGCAACCCAGGCTACCTGTGCATTAAAGCACAAACAAAATCAAAAAAGATTCCATGAAGTACAAGGCAAGAAAGTCTAAGGAAACAGGGAAAGTTTCACATTTCCTGTTATTGAATCTAGGCACAGCCTGTAGAGGAAGCTGAATGCCTTTTGAATCCCATATGCTCTGTTCTGTGAAGCTATCATTGTTGTTTTACCTTATGACTGCAAAGCTACTATGGCAAACTTTTTAAATGATCCCAGCTATTTGTTTTTTGAGAATCATATTGTATTTAAACTTTGCCATTACTTTATTCTTTTCATTAAAAAATGCAATTTTAAAATATTTTGTTTTTCTAAATGGGATCCATTTGATCTAAGAATTAGTGTTCTTTCCAGTTATCAAACGTTAACTGTGTGCCATGCATTGGGTAATAGCTTTCACACTCATTATTTCATTTATTTACAACCCCATGAAGGAGACACCAACACATGAGGAAACCGAGGAAGATTAAGCCATTTGCCCAAGAAAACACATCCAGTGTGGGGCTCTTTTGACCATGTCATCAATATCCATCCAAATTTTATCACTAGATCCATGAGTTTGCCATCCTTTGTTTTCTGAAAATACAAAGTAAAGTAGTATTTGCACACTGTTAAGCCCACACTTCACTAAAGAAGGCAGCCCTCAGGTAGACCAGGATCCAAAACTTATGGCACTGTACCATAGCAGTCAGGAGCAGATCTGGACATCAGAAGGTCCTGGTTTCAAGTCCCAGCTCACCCACTTACTGGACCTGAGACTACAGGGATGACATCTACTCTCTGAGACTGTTTTCCCATCTGTCAAATGGGAATAAAATTAAGTTGAATCCTATGAATTTGCCAAATTTCAACCATTTTCTACTTCCAAAAATTATTTTCAAATGGTTTACCTAAATTCTTCACTGGGTCATTGTACAGATTAGATGAGGACACATACGAAATGTTCAGTAAATGGCGCTTTTTAGTAGACTTTTTCTTCTTGATTTTCTTTTGCTCTGGCCAATAATTTGCATTCTCTGGGCAGACTTTACATGCAGAGAACCCAGCTTGAGGCTTTCTGAGTATTGGAACCTATAATGGGGAGACGAGACAATAAGAGCATACAGATAACCAAGAATTAACAAAAAAGGCCTTACTGTTCTGTGCATTCCTCTGGGCTCTTAATCAGAAAATCGCTTTTTTTTTTTTTTTTGAAAGGAAGCTGTTATGGAAGTTTAGCTTCACTACCGCTTACCCCACCTCCCTGCCAACTCCGGGAGACAACTCAAACAGCCAGAGTTAGCATTACCTGCCTGTGTGTTTACTTCGTCGTCAGGTGCCAGGCCCTGCGCTCAGTCCCGCACAAGCCTTGCCATACTACTTCCCACAACAGTCCTACAAGAAGGAAACTGTCACCCCCCCACCCTCCCGCCTTCCCTCATTTTCCTAGTGAGGAAACAGACAAACACAGGTCTCTGAGCTGAGGAGTTGGACTCGAACCCTGGCAACACCAGAACTCGAACACTCGGAACCTCTCCTTTCCTGCGCGATTTGAAGCGCTTTTTCACCTATGAATCTTAGAAACTCGGTCTCACCCTAGGGAAGGAGGAGCTGGGAGTAGCCGACTAGCACAACTTCGCCGCGTTCTGCATGTCCGTGGGCTCAGGCGCCGGGCAAGAGTAGGGAGGCAGGGCGCTGCCCCCCGGGGTATTTAACCCCAGCCCGGAGCCCGCCGGGCGCCGGGCGCTTGGGCTCCTCCGCGCTCGCTCCTCCTCTCCCTCCTCCCAGATCTCTCCCGGCGCGCCCCACCCTCCGCCCCGCGCTCGCCTCGCGCGCAGGCACCGGCCGGCCGGCGGGCACGGGGAGCTGGGCACGGGCGGCGCTCGCTTCTACGGAGCCGCCCCCTGGCCGCGGCCGCCGCGCACCGACCAACCCTAGCCGCCCGGGCTCCAGCCGCCCACCGGTCGGCACTGAGTGCGCCGCGGCTGCCCTAGCGCCCCGCAGACGGGCGGGTGGCCGTGGACGCCCAACCAGAAGCCCGCAGCATGGATTCGGATTCCGGGGAGCAGAGCGAGGGAGAGCCAGTGACTGCCGCAGGTACCTAGGGGCCCAGCCGGGTGGGCTGGGGCAGAAAATCTGGAAGCCGATCCCCAGCAGCCCGACCCCAACCGGGACTGGGGATTACTCCGCACCGTGAGTTTGCTTTGGGGCTTCCCTCCACCTCATTGCACTTGGACGCGCGGGAGGGAGAGAAGGTGCATTTGGGGGTGGCTCTCCTTGCTGCCAGTCTCCTGCGGCGGGCTCCAGTTGCCCGGGCTGGGTGGGGGTGGGGAAGGGTTCGGGAATCCGTGTCCTGTAGTTTGCTGCAGAGAGGGTTGCAACACATCTGCCTTTTGAAATAACTTTTCGAGTGCGGGCCGGGTCCTCGAACCTGGGGCGCCAGGACTGCGCTGCGGAGCAGGTGACTGGTCCGAGAACGTGACTGGGGGCTCTGGGCAGAAAAGGCCTCGCCAGGGGATGGAGCAGGGGTCAAACCACAGCTTGTGGCTGCGGTTCCCGAGGCTGCTAGGCGAGCCAGTGTAGAGGCGCTAGCCCATCGCTGCAGCGCAGCCGGCAGAGAAGGCCCCGCGGACTGCTAACCCGAACACAGACGCGGCGGCGCGCGGAGCCCGGCTTCTCCTTTAAGAGCCCCGCCAGCTTTTCACAATCGATAGTTATTAAAGCAATAGGTGGATGCTTACTTAGGGAAGAAAAAAAAAGAATGTCTTCCCCCGCCTCTCCCCGATACTGAGCAACAGGAGGAAGCCACCCACAGCCGTGGGTCGACTTGCCGCCAGGCTCTGCCCACCTCCACCGGTCCGCTCCGCCCCCAACCCACGGGCCTACGCACCTGGGACCGGCTCGCACTCTGCACATGCCCACGGCTCCCGGCGCCCGTGCAGCTCCTAAGGTTAGCCCTGGGCCTGCAAGACCCGTGACCTGCAGGCTGGGACCCCTGCCCTCACGGACAGACCACAGCCCTGGGTTAAGCCCCTACTCTTCCCAGTGTCAGACTAGAATCCTGGTGGTGGGGACCAAGTGACAGAAGGCACCATCAGTCCGGGCTTGGGTGTAGGAAAAGGAAATTCCGGAACCAAGCAGGACAGCGCCCTACATATATTATTAACCTTCATCCTCACAGCCCCTGGCCAGGCAGTTATTTTCATTTTACAGAGATTCCCAGAGAGTAACTGGCTTGCCCACGTCTCAGCCAGGGAGTAGCCAGGGCCCAGTGATGCCCTTCACCCTGCATCAGACTTCAGAGAGTGTGGCAGTGGCCTGCCCCTTTGGGTGTTGGGAAGGGGCGAGGCTGGTGGAAAGGAAATGCCAAGATGCCTGTATTTGAGGATTCCTGTGTATGTGCAAAAGCCACCTGCTTTGCGTAGGTATGTGTGACTATAATTCATAAACATGAGCCCTTTGCATGACTGTATGTTTCTGTGACTATAAAGTGCGGAGATTTTTCCTCACAGGTGGCTTGTGGATCTCCTCTCATCATTTAAAAGTTCCAGTAGGTGTTTTGTGTGTATCTATTTACAGAGCGCAAGCGGGAGGGGGACCTTAACACTGACACTGAACCCGTTCAAAATTCCAAGAACAACATTCTCTGTGCTACCCTGCCCAACCCTCCATCTCTTCTGGTTGAAGTTAAGGGGCTGAAGAAAAAGGGGGAGGAGGATAAGAAGGCTTAGAAAAAGAGGAGGGAGGAGAAGCTGGGAAGGGAAGAGAATCTTCAGAATCCCTGGTACTTGGGTAAAAGGGAAGGAAAAGAATTCTTCCACACCCTGTTGTCTTCTCTCTCCAACCTCCCCCAGTGTTTAATATCCCTGTGATATTCACAGTCAGTTTGTGTCAGAAGGCCTCTGCATAGCTGACAGCAAACATCACTAAGGTCAGATGGGCCTCACAAAGAATAGAGCAGCCAATTCTGGTGAGCTGTCACCATTTGTTTGTGCCTTACTGTTTTTTGCAATTGTTTCTTCTTTCTGAGTGTGCTTGAATCTCACAAGTTGAACATGTATTTTAATGTCACAAGCCATTCTACTAAATGGCATTCCGTCTTACTCATTATATTCCATTTTAAAGTATTATCCTGTATGATAGTGCTACAAAGTTGGATGTTAATTCACCACCTTGCTAGGGCTGCATCCTGTCAAATGGAAACCGTTGTTGTAGATTCAGATATAGGTTAGATGACAGGTATCTTCTTCATAGAGGCTGACCTTTGTCCCTACAAGAAACTTGACATTCATCCATGGACCTGTGTCTATGAAAGCTGAAGGGGTAGGGGTATCACTGAGAAATACAGAAGAGTGAGTGGGACCTCTTGGAATATTTATATGTGTGGTACCTCCCTCACAGGGAGTTGAGACATAAAGGCTGCTTCCTCGTCCGTGCCTTTACATTTCCTGAATTTGTGAAAAATCCCTGCCATAAGATGGACCTTATAAGGTTAAAAGTCTGGATTCTGGAACTGGACAGACCTGGGTTTCAGTTTCCACCTCATGGGCAAGTTAGTTGACCTCTCCAACCTCAGTTTCCCACTCTGTAAAATGGGGATAACAATAGTACCACAGGGCTTATGAAGATTCAGTATAATAATACATGATAGGTGTTCCTAGTAATCATTATCATTTACTAAATGATTACCAGGAACACCTTTAAGTAATCATTTAGCTGTTATTTTGGTTATTACCTGATTGGATTATTTGTTGTAAGAATACTGCTAAATAATGAACCCCAGTGTTTTAAAATATAAATGCATGTATAAAACAAGTAGTGTTGCTATTGTTATCACGTTGATATAATTGCCTAAAGAGATTTGTTTTGAATTTTCTCCTTTTCAGTCTCTTGTTATTTTCTCTGGGGTGTGTATGTGTGTTTGAGGAGGTATTTTTAGTTTACTTCTCATCTTCATCCATCTTCCAGCACAAGGCATGGAGATGGGGACATTCCAACCTGCTGCTTTCACCAGCCTCTCCTCCACCTCTAGGGAAAGTTATAAAAAACAGAGAACCCCTCACTCAATCCACCTGCTAACATGGAGATGAAAGCGTTTCTTCTTTCATGGTGCTTCAAGTGGAAGAAGAGGAGGCAATCCCCTGGCCTCACCCTTTCCTATCCCATTGGTAAACCTTTTCCCTTCAAGGTGGCAGGAAGAGTAGGAGGTGCTCACCTTCCTTCCTGCCACTTTTGCCCATCATGGTCATCTTTCTCTTCACCTGTTGGAAGAGGAATAAGGTAATCTTCAAAGACAACTCACTTTTTACTGTACTCTTTTCAAGAGACTCTTCCAAAGTCCCCCCAACTTCCTGCATGCAGAGCAGATCTCTCATAGAGCAACATGCTGCAGTGGAGGGTGGGGTGAAGGATGAGGTTTGTCTCCATCTGCATATTCTGTTTTTCAGGAAGCACAGAATGATGCTTCTAAGTCATTCTGCTGCCCGCACTCTCCTCTGCCTTTCTGTCATTTTATGGATCTTTCTATGATTAAGAAAAAGGCAGGATTTATGGAACACTGGATTCTTTCCAGAGACCCAACTTGGCAGTCTTTCCTTTGGCAAACCCACCATCCATCTCCCAGAAATCCTAGAGCAAGGTGCATTCACTTGGGAGTGATTGAGTCTTTCCTAAGAAGCAACAGGGGAGTAAACATTAACGACATCAGTTTTTTCCCTTTCTGTCTTAGAAGATCAAGACAGCCTACCCAGCTGAGGGCAGATGAGCTCCTTCCTCCCACAACTAGATGGTCCAGGGCAATCAAGCTGATGGTGTCCTTGTGTCTGGGTCGGTGCTGCAGAAAAGCATTTCCATGTGATGGAGTCAGAATATGGTAGGGGAACCACAAGAGAAAAACAGGACTGGGAAAACACCAGGCCCCTAACTCTGCCCTTCCTGTCTTTCTCCTCTCCTATGGCTCAGCTTGGCCCATGTGAACCAAGTGAAGGAATGGGTAGGATTCAACAGGATCCTATTGAGGAAGTGGCAGGTGAAGAGGAAAGACATTCCAGGAGTCATACAGCTTGAGAAAAGGCACAAACAGGAAGTCAGCTAGAATAGAGGACACCTACTGGGAAGTCCTGGGAGATACAGGTAGGGGTGTGTAGGGAGGAACAATTTTAAGTTGGTCTTGGCAGGGCCTCGGGAGTCCCCATAATTCTTGAGAAGAGATATGACCCAATGAAAGCTGAGTTTTCAGAATGTACATCTGGCAGAGATGGAGAGATGCACGGTTTGCCTGGACTTGGCACCTCAAATCCCAGGGTGTGGCTACAGCATCAGAGAAGGTGGTGGCACTAAGGCGAGACAGAAGAGGGAGGGTGCAAATGGTATTTCAGAGAAATCAACAACAGAAGTTGGTGACAGATTGTACAAAAGCAGGGAAAGGAGAAGGAGAGTTGATGGAGACAGTGGCATGTTGTGTTGGGTAACGTTCTCTGGAGGCAGAGAAATTCAAGAGACAGGCTCCCCGACCCCACAGATGCTCCCTCTTCAGGCACTTAGCAGTGATGTTTGGAGTAAAGGTTCTTTTCCCCTTTAGACAGTAAGTTCTACAGGTGCATTGGTTTTGAGGCACCATGAGGTTTGAGGGTTTACTGATTCTCATTACTAGGTTCCTTGCAGAGGCTCTTTAGTAATCTTTGTCTACTGACGGGTTGAAGATAAATAGGCTGGTCTGCTGAGGGCAAGGACAG